GCATGTGGTGAGCACTTTTTGTGATCTATGGGTCTTTTTATGGCCACTGCAAATCTCTAAGCAAGCATGCAAACAGCTGATACTTAACATTTCTGGATGGTAATGCTGAAACACTAGTCTAAAATCTTTAATGTGCTGGTATATGTATTGAAACATGAAATCTTTTGTTCCCCAGGCTTGAATGAAGAACTAGTCCAGCTTCTCCTTATCCGTGATGAATTGCACATGGAACAAGATGCTATGCTTGTAGACATTGAAGACTTGACTAGGTAATAGCATAGCCAGGGTTTGTACACCTTCCCTATGGATGTTTGTAAGGCCCTATGAGTATATTTAACCTCTCTCCAGGCACAATCTCTGTAAAGTTTGGGGATATAGAAACCGCTCTCATAAAAAGTCAAAATAATTTAAACGAACACTCCAAGCAGCTTAACCACAGACCAATGTTTGCAAATGATTGGACAGCCGCGGGGGTGCAGGGCTTAGCTTATTTGCCGAGAGTCCTCCACTGATGCTCTTGGCCAATGAGCGGCTCTACACAGGAGAGCTTAGCTCAGTGGAGCAAATGGAAGCTCCTGGTCCAAGCTTCCAACTTTTGAAGAGGCTGTGACCGGTGCTTGGTGGACCCCAGGTAAGCTGCTGTGACACCTTTCACAAGTGTTTTGACTACTTACCCTCGGAGGGTGGCCAGGCACTTTTGACACCAAAATCACTACAGCAGTTTGTTTGGCGTCATCATTTTGCAAGGTATTGGCTGTATCATCTAAAATTGGCCCATCACCCATTTCACCTAGTTTTAGGTACACACTGCCACTGTGGAATTGTTTCACATTATACACCTAGCATTCTCCAAGTCTCATCGTATTAACCAGCGTGTGTGTCACCACTTGTTTGTATTGGCATTCTTGTTTCTCACTGATGAAGCAATGATTAAGGCTTTCGGAATAACCAAACCTTATGATTTATACTATTAAAAAAAGTTATGAATTGTGTGGCAAGTGAGTTTCATTGCACTATTAAACATATTTTAAATATTGCAACATGCTAGGACTGCAAAATAAATAATGAAATACAAAATGGATATTGCTGCAATTTAACTTTAAAAGTGGAGTTGTTTTTTGTTTTTTTTTTTTGGTTTGTTTATTTGCTATGTAATAACATGTCTGGACATAACCATAAATAATTAATATCATTTGTGATAGAAGCCAGATTTCATTGGGAGTGATACCAAAAGAATTATACTATATTCATCTGAAAAACAAATCCGTTTTGATTTCAATGTTAATCAAACTAAATAGAATTGGTATAACTACGTTAGAATGGTATCCAATTTTATAAAAACGTCCTGACAACTTCTCTTAAGATTACTGACTGTGAGAAAAAAAAAGGAATCCATGTTTAGCATGAAATCTTTTGCCAGTGTCAACAAGTTTATTTATGAAGAAATATAGTTTGATTGACCAATCAGCCACACACACACACCAACCCCTATTGTTCTAGTTTAATGACTCAATACAGAATGCATACTTTTACAAATTGTAATTGGACTGTACATGCAATAAACTAATTAGCTTAAAGGGATACTTCAAGCACCATATGAGATACATTAGTCTGGTTGATAACCTGATAACAGTCTAGTCAATGTTTCTCTCTGAGGAAGTTTGTGCTTGGCAGCAAAGAAAAGGAGCACTAAAGAAAGTCTATATACAGCTAATGTAATGCAAGTATATTGGTCTTAGGAAAGCCCTTTAATGAAAAATAAATACATGCATATTTTTTTTTTATCTACAATTCATTCTTCATATGCGTTAAAAATAAAAAATAATGGATTTATTAACCTAAAGAGATCCTTTAACAGGCCTGTATATCCACCATTGACTTGGACTGCAGTTGTACTGTACAAATATATACCCACATGGGTAACATCACAAATATGTGCAAAGATTCTCCTATTTAGTCCCAAATCCTTTCATTCGCTGAACTCCAAAACGTACTGAATTAAAGGGACTCTATAGTCACCACAACAACTACAGCTTAATGTAGTTGTTCTGGTAAGAATAATCATTGCCTTCAGGCATTTTCATGCAATTTCCTCTAGGCACACCTCCAAGTGGCCACTCCTCAGATGACCACTGGAGATGCGTCTTGGGGCAGTGCTGCACAGTAGGTATGGGGACGTTGAATTTTTCTTATAGAGATGCCTTGATTCAATGTACCTCTGTGAAGAAGTGCCGATTGGCCAAAACTGTATTTGGCCCTGAATCCTGATGTAATCGGGGTGGGGCCAGAACCGGCAGACCCAGGCGGTGCAGGAAATAAGGTGGGGTTAATTCCTTTTAATGGGAGTAAGGGAGGGGCAAGCCCAGGTGGCGCAGGAAATAAGGTGGGTTTTAATTCCTTTTAGTGGGCGTAAGGAGGGGCAAGCCACCTAAATGGTGGGTTTAACACTATAGGGTCAGGGATACATGTTTGTGTTCCTGACCCTATAGCGTTCCTTTAAAGTTCACATTGTAAAACTGAGGCAAGAATAGCTGATCTGAAAAAATCTTCAACTGCGCTACAGTAATTACTTGACTATTGTAACCTCTAATTTCACAATTCAGATTTTAATTCAGTAAAATTCAGAGATTAGTGAATAACACTACAAGTTAAATCAATTACCATCTTACCGTATTTTTCGCTCCATAAGACGCACTTTTTTCCCCTCAAAAGTGAGGGGAAATGTCTGTGCGTCTTATGGAGCGAATGTGAAGCTTTACTTACCTGTCTTGTAGCGTGGGCCGGCAGCACAGCGCGCTCCGCGGTACAGGAACTTCAAGTTCAGGTTCCGGTTTCCGGTGGGACTGAAAGGAAGTGTGCACACTGAGTGTGCACTTCCTTTCAGTCCCGCCGCAAACCGGAACCTGAACTTGAAGTTCCTGTACCGCGGAGCGCGCTGTGAAGCCGGCCCACGCTACAAGACAGGTAAGTAATTATGTGACAAGGGGAGGGGGTACTCTATGGGACAAGGGGAGGGGGGGACTCTATGGGACAAGGGGAGGGGGGACACTATGGGACAAGGGGAGGGTGGGACACTATGGGAGGGAAAGTGCACTATGGGACAAGGGGGGACACACACTATGGGATGAGAACAATATTGGACAAGGGGAGGAGGGGTTAACAATCACTATGGGACAGAGGAAAGGGGGGTTAAAATAACTATGGGACAGGGGAGGGCGGTTAAAGATCATTATGGGACAGGAGAGGGGAGTGGGTGGTAAGGAACAAAAAATTCCTTTAAAAAAAAATATTCTGAACAAACTGTCCCATAGTAAGAAACACTATGGAACAGTTCAGAATATTTTTTTTTCTGGGTTTCCTCCTCTAAAAACTAGGTGCGTCTTATGGTGAGGTGCGTCTTATGGAGCGAAAAATACGGTAATTAAGCAAAACACACCACTCTCTCTGACAATTGACTCATTGCAGACTGTTGGAACAGACTATTGGTTTATATAGTAGCTGTCTTTCCAATTCTGGGTCTGGCTCGTGCTGCACAGAGGATGGTTCTTGTGTGTGACTCCTGCACAGGTTTCTATTGTAATAAAACATGTTTTATAGATTGTGTCCTGCAAGGTATTAATGATAATAAAAACTAAATCGGATTGGTACTGTTACAGAGGAGATTTAATGGCATAAAAGCTGAAAAGTATGATCCATTCTTCTTGGTGACAGTAAGCGTTCAGCAGTTTTTCTGCACTTGTCCAACACGGATTAAATGGCTTTCCATGTGCTCTCCTCAATCCTCAGAATTGAAGTGATAATCTCCGGAGGTCTTTGTGTGCATGGCTAACATGATTCTTTTTTTTTTCCCCTTATTTTGCAGACATGCTGAAAGTCAGCAGAAGCACATGGCAGAGAAAATGCCTACAAAATAGATCGAGAAAGCCATTGAACACAGGGAGGGGGTGGGGAGATAAACTTTATTTTGCTTTTGTGGTTGTTGAAATGCTGATGCTAAAAGATGATACACACAAGGAAAATCAGTGTTAGTCTTTGACCATGTCTGAAGCTTTACGTCTTTACGTGATTTGGCCTCTGCTTCCTAATTTATTTTAACTTTTTACCGGTGCCACTTAACCCATTGAGTGTCAGTGAAGGCGTTGAAGAACAGTGCTTGGCAACGCGTTTCGTGCCTGGCGAGGTAATATTGCTAGGCGTTTTATTAAAATACTATTGTTATATGTACAGTACTTATGCCATTAAAGACTATGGATTAAGAGACAGATAATAGTTACAGATATTATTTTTATTTTTCTGTTTAAATAAATTTTAAGTTAATCAGTATTTTACATACAATAACTACTTTTTATTCTTCACTGTAGTTTTGAAACACAAATGTTATTGACGGTGCTAAACAAGTCAACAACTACATGCCTGCCTCATTGTAACATTGTAGCTCTCCGTATCTTGTATTATTCTCGGCGGTTCTCAACATTTTGTGAATGTTGATAATCTGACTTCAGTTTTTAGATGTGCTATTATATTATTCAATTGGATTGGGGGGGAAAGAAAGGTCACCTTCAAAGTTTTATGTATAAATATGTAAAATAAACTTTAAACATTTGTTTCGTATGTTATCGTCTTTTGGTTGACATGTTCAGCATAAAAAACAAAACAAAAACAAAAAATGTAGTTCTTATTTTCCATTACAGCTTTTATAAAAAAAAAAAGATACATACCAAGTGATTAGAAATAATTGTCGAAAAGGCATAACTGTAGTGGGTACATGTAACATATGAAATGTGAATGTATATACATGTTGCATATCAAAGTGAATGTCTAATTGTATTGGCAAGCAATGTTCCTGTGAGTCTGACTTGTGGTTTTACAGGGTAACTTCTTTCATTAGAGAGATCCAGCACTGACAAGTCGCATCGGAATTTATATATATTTTGTGTGTAAGTGTTTGTGTTTTCCTGTGTACGTGACTGAATGCTAAATGTTGCTGCTTTAATGACAAATGGTATTTGGTAAGTAAACCACCTGGGGATAACAGATTGGATACTACAACCCAAAATATTTAAATCACTATTAAGAAAAAAAATATAAAACGTGCATTTAAATGTAGTATGTGTTAAATACCCCATCAGAGATGCTTTATTTCTCATTAATAGACAGTGTTGCTCTGTGGAGATTTAATATTGGGCTCACAGTTCTTTTGATATTTTACTGAGATCCCATCTGTAAATATTTTGTTTTAGACATGGAAATGGGGAAATCCAGGTACAGTTATCCAGCATATCCAAGTCCTGGTCAAAAGAATGCAGAATTCACGAGGCTTGTAAAAGGATGGTTATCTGGTAACCCCCGTCGCCATAGAACCCAATGTTAAAACACAGGTCACATACACCAGGCCCGAAGAACATGGAACTTCTGCAAATACTGTGAGGGATCCAAAAATAAAAGCAGTATTATTTAAAGTAAACATTTTACTTAAAACTGTAAGGCTTATAATAAAGGTAGTTGGTAGCAGCTGCTGATGTGTATCAGAGTGATATTCACTTTTCAACCTTCTTGTGTGAGTTCAGGAAAGAAAGTGGAAGTTAGTGATATCATCAGTTCTGCTTTTGCAATGTAACCTAGGCAACTGCAGCTTGCTCAATCTTTTCAAGTGCATGAGAATACTGTGTTTATATAGCTTGGCTCAGGTGCATAATTTAATTCTCTCACATTTTTTACTGTTTTTATTTTACTGCTAGGTCAGTATGCCCCTTCATACCATCAATTGGCATTTTGGTTTATCACATATTTTAGAAGAATTTATCATTTTCATTATTTTTTGTATCTTATTTTCTTTTTTTCCATTTTCTTTTTACAATTTATGTTGGAGTTATCATGTTTTTCAAGAAAATAAAATACAAAGCTATTCAGTGTGTAAGATTTAGCACCTTACAGTTACCACAAAGAAAACAAAGGGTTCAAATTATATACAAAATTAGCACAAGTTCCCATTATTTAGGCAACTCTATTTAAATCAATCATGAATTGTTTGCAATTGTTGGCCATAGAAACATGGAAGGTGTAGTTCAGCAATGTCTGCGCGGACGCAGTTTGAGATTCCTGCTCTAAAGAAATTTGGGTGAAAAAAGAAAGATGTGGGCAAAAATGAAAAAAAGGTAAGTAAATAACGAGAAAATAGTTGATGGAGTTAGTAAATGGGGGGAAAAATATGGTGAAGATAACAGTCATGTACCTTTGCTCAAATTTATTCAGTTTTACAGCCAGTGACTGAGGAGATTGCTGTACTCGAATTAAGAAAGAAACCATGAGAAAACCCACTTGTCACGAGGAATAACCCCAAAACGCAGTGTAGGATAACCATAATATATTGGACTGAAGTCAGGTAAGCTATATATATATATATATATGTGTGTGTAGGATAACCGTAATATATTGGACTGAAGTCAGGTAAGCCATATATAAATATGTATGGCTTACCTGACTAAAGTCCAATATATTACGGTTATCCTATAATATAATATAAATATATATGTATATATATATATTGTAGAACAGGTAAATAAGTCAACAAAGAAACTCAGGGCCAGGAACAATGTCAAGATTAATACCAGAAATATCACAATGGAACAAGAAAAGCACTAAAGGGTACTGAGAGCAGAAACCATGGTAGGGCACAGTAAATGGGGCTAGAGGAGTTTATATACTGTTATCTGGGATTTGTTTGGTCCACGTCATACTTGCGACTCCAGAACGTGCATGAACAGGGATAACTGAGAGACATGGACCATTCTGCGCCGGAAATGAAGTTACGTGTCACCCTGTATGTCTTTAAGAACGTGCTCCGAATGCGAGCAGCATTCTTAATGCTGGCATTCGGGCCATGCAAACCATTATTTTGTGTGGCCCATTTGGAGGTTCTCAATCTAGAACTGGGTAAGTCTCATTGCACAAGTAAATAGACAAACTTAAGACTGCATGTTCAAAACAAATTATCTAGGGTGCAGCACCGAAATGACTGGGATGTAAAAACAATTAAGCCTCTTGCTGTTTAATAAGATCAGATAATGGGTACATATCATGACAGATACAATTTTTTACCCTCTTTTTTTATTTTTTTTTTTGAGCATGAAATTCTGCATATACATTGTGCTAGCAAATATATGGTTTGTTAGAGTAACATTTTTAGAGAGAGGTTTTTTTTCCCACTTCTCAGTAAAATCTATGGCACAGACTCTGACAACAATTCAAATTACAAGGCAGGAAGTACAGCAGTTCCTATGGAAACTCTATAGCGAACACTGTTAGCGCTGTTTATTTTGTATAGTAATGGAATAACTAATGTCACTTCATTCATATGATGGTATTATACAGGATGTTTTCTCTGCTTGGGGAATAGTTGCAAAACTGCAAATCAAAGGAACGAGGGTGAACTGGAGATGGGTGTTACCTATAGAATAAGAGGAAAATGTGGCAGAACTTCATGTTTTGAAAAAGAAGATTCACTACAATGAAGTATATCCAAAGGTTCCACTGAATGAAAGAAGGAGCATCTGCTATTTTACTAAAGTTTCCATATTTTTTTGTGACAATTTTTTTTTACTCTAAGGTACAATACATAATAAGAGAATTTCCAAAAGAAAAAAAACTATTGTTGCCTACTGAAATCAATTAGAGTCCGGCACAATTGGCCAAATTGTATCAACACAATTAAAATATTTAAGGATATTATTTTCTTTTGCAAACTGTTCTATTACATTTTGGTTTTGTAAACTATTTTTGGGTTAGTCCCTGGATAGCCCTAGGGCAGTGATGGCTAACCTTGGCACCATAAATTGTTTCTGGAACACATTTTCCATGATGCTCAGCTAGCTTTTAGAGCCTCTGCCCTAGTGCTATCCACCTAGCACTTTGCATTAGGCCAGTGGTTCCAAATTAGTTTTTACCCTTGATACCATTTTATGTAGTGTACCAACATCGTGGATTCCCCAAAATAATATAGAGCCTTAGAACACACCTTTTAATGAGCAGAGTGTTATGTTTTCTTTCTTTAAGCAAATTCATCTTATATCTGGTTTAATTGTTAACAGTTGTATTTGCATGTCTACAGTGGCATCAAGTCTGTTTCAATACTCTGTTTTGGTTGCAGAGTAAAGCGATAATCCAGTTGGATGCACTTGCGAATATCAAAAGAACTTTGATTGCTTGTTGAGACAACTCTGGGCATTCTTCGTGTAAATCGCCCCCAAAAAACAATGAGAAAAATCTTCTTGAAATATTTGGTTTAGTTGACAGTCAGAAGTTATATTGATCAGATTCTCAAACTCGACATCAGAAATACTGGCTGGTTTGTCTTGTGTAAATGGAGATTATTTTTTTCATTCAAGAATGGAAAATATTTATTGGTAGATGTTTGTAAATTGCCAAGATAATCTGCAATTTCATTCCGAATTTTGTATTTCAGTTAAATTCCTGTTTCTTTAAGAAAATCCTTTATGTTTTGGAAAAGATTTCACATTATTATACTCTATAGCTGAAGTCCAAAACTGCAACGTATGAGACAGTGAAAATATTTTCTCTCTCACATTAAAAATGTTTTTTTCCCTTGGCGTGATAAACATATTTCTTTTAATTTTGTGAATATGTCCGCAAGATATGCTATTTTGGATAACCACAAAACGTTTGTTAATCAAATAGATAATCCAAATGTATGATCCTGGAAATGTGGTCTTGCTGCAATTCAAACATAACAAGGACTTTCACTCGGAATTGCCAATAAACCTCTGAATGTAAAAGCAGAGCAGAGTGGTACCTAACCATGTCTTCACATATAATGTTAAATAATTGTTACAGTAATGGTCAACCTTTTATACAATAAATAATCTGGACCGCTTTTCGAGCACAGTTTTAAGTGAGATCGAAATATTTTAAGCTCCCAGTACGTCTGTGAAGAACACAGTGAGAATTGGTGCTGTTCTTTGCTACAGTTCTTATTTGTGTCACGGTGCCCGACACTTACACTTTTCCAACCAATGCTTTGGTGCCATCATTGCACACATCTACACATGTGTTCCAATTAATACTGTGTGTGTCCATACAGTTAAAGATGTTCTCAACAGTGGTATGAGTTTGTAAAGTTTCAAACAGAAGCAAGTCTTCTTCAATCTGTTTGTCAAAAATGATATCTTACAAAAAACAGCAAAATTGAGAGCCCTGCAACATCTGTGGACTTGTCTAATTGCAGTGAGTACCTATCACTTTGATGCCGACAAGAAATGATACTGACAATTTAAAACAGTCCTTTAATTATGATTGTAGACAAGATTTTCTGACCTTTCTGGGCATCAAGTTAGCGACCACCAAGCATTGGTTTAATTAAACTATCAAAAACTTTATACAGACATTGATAACGCACTAACCCAATGGAAGGATAAATATCTCTCAAGGTTGGGCAGAAGCACTGCCATCAAGATGATGCTGCTTCCCAAAACCCCATACTTATTTCGCACACTACAAATTCACGTTCCAGGCTTAAGCTTTACTACAAAAATTCTGCTGGAACGACAAAAGACTTAGAGTGCCTGGGAGACTGCTTATGCGGATAATGAAAGAGGGGGAATTTGGGCTCCCTAGCTTTAAAGAATATTACAGAGAGGCATGTAATGGACCGTTTTGCCCAAAAGAGGTTAAAAACCGTTTAGGCGATATTCCCCTTTTTCAGCTGCACAGACAGCTACTGCAAGCACCAATCTCCTGAACTGCAAACCCACGAATTCACCAACTCCCGAACTGCAACCAAGGGAATACTGGAAACTCCCGAACTGGAGAGACACGAATAGCTGCTGGCAGACGAACAGGAAAAGCCTACAATCAGCTTACACTCCTGGCAATCAAACTGGAACAGCATACAATAACTACTTCCCCAATAATGAGACAACACTTCACTTTGAGGGTTAAGCAGGAACTCTCTGTAATGGCCACACACTGGCTTTTATGCAAGTCCCCATGCAAGGGGACATCTCACAGGGTGGGACACAGTACAACCAATCGTTTACAGGAGAACCATAAAACACACCCACATTTACATCACAATCCCTCCTCTCTGTCCAGGAGATAATTGTGAAGTAATCCAATTATCTCCCAGGACAGAGGCAAGACTCCATTAACCACATGGCAGTAACAATACAATAAAAGACATAAAATTACATACAGTTACATTTATTCCATAAAACATAGACATTCTACATATCCCCAGATAGCTTAGATCTGAGTGCACATTACTACCGAATGGCGCTCAGATCACATAGAT